GAGAAGGCAAGCGGACCGAGAGTCAGCGACGCGGCGGCTTCAACCTACCGCGGCCTCCTCGACTTCCTCACCGGCCTCGGCCACTCCTCGGCCCGCCTCAATCCAGTAGCAAGAAGCAGAAACCCCACCCCTCCCGCCTAGATCGCTCCTCCGCCTGATGGAGGGAAAATGCGCCACCGGGGCCTGTTGGCGCAGGCGCGAGCTCCTCCCCTCCTCCCGTTTCAAGGAGCCCTCTTCGTCTGTCTCCCCCTCCATTTTCTCATTCTCCTCTTCGCCTTCCCGAGGCATCTCGGGAGCTGTAGTAGCGGCGAAGAAGAATTCCCTCACAGACTGCGGCAAATGGGCGGGACAAAACCATATTACCCAGAAGGCGCTACGGCGCCGAGTCCCTGTTTCCATAGAACTGGAGTGAGAATTACATCAGCGTTTCTGAGCCAGCGGCTAATGGCGTTGGCAAGTAGGCGGACCGATCGGGTCGCGCGCCAATGGGGAGCAGGCAAGGCGGGGAGAGGGCGGGCGTTGATCTGTCAATCACGCGTCGGATCGGGGGAGGGGAGGGAACAGCTTGGAGCTGAGCCGCTGCTGTCGCCGTCGCCACCGGGGTTCGGACGGGAGGGAGCAGCCTCCTCTTTGCGAGCCCTCCCTGCCCCAGAGCCAGGCCGGCGATCGCTTGAGGGACGGACGCGGGATTGGGGGCCGAGCGATTGGGCCCGGCGTCGAGAGGAGGCTCCGTCCTCCTCGCCCCCCCGGCAGGTTTGGGGGGACCAGCGAGCGGGCGACAGTCGTGGAACAAAGGTAACGTTGCCCCGGAAAAGAGGCTGCGGGCCCTCGGCGGTTCGCGGGGCTCCCTGGTGAAGGCCGAGGCCGTTTGCAGGGGGATCGGAGAGCGGGCGAGCGGAGCGAGCGAGCGACGCGCTTTCTGGATTGTTGTTTTTCTGCTGGTTGCGGCGGCGGCGGCGCCACTCGTCGCTTCAGCTTCCCGGGAACCGGGACCTCTGAGTCTCGGAGGAGAGCGCGGGGAGCCCCGGGGCCGCCTGCGGAAGAAGGCGCCCCCCATTGCCGCCCCCGAGCGTCGCTTCTCCGGCTTCCGACCAGCTCCGCTGGAGCAGGGAGCTGCGGCTGTTGCCGAAACTCCTGCCGCGGAGTCAGCCCGGGGGGAGGGGAGCGGAGTGGAGCGAAAGAGGGGGAGAGCGAGAGGGGCAGGTTGCGGGAAAGAGCGGGGAGCCGTGGCTCTGGACGCGGGATGCAGGGAGGGGGACGCGGAAGAGAGCTGAAACCCCTCCGTTCTTGCTACTATCGCTAATATTATTCTGTTAAGATTTTTGGGGGTGGGGACAGTAGTATTAGGTTTCTCCTGTACACAAGTGAATATTCTTTATGTGCCGAATATTTCAGCACTGTTTACCTGAGAATTTAAGCAGTATTTCTGACAGATATGTAGGATGGTCGCATAACAAGTGTGCAAACAATTCTGAGCCCAAGAATTAATTTGTGCCCAAAATCATTTTGGGATACTCTTTTCCTTTGGAGTGTACTTTGGGAATTCTTTGATTTTTACTAAAAGTTTAGGATCTAGATAAGCAATTTCAAGATGATGAAATAATTATCAAGACCAGAATATTATGCAATGTAGTGAATCAAAACAATTAACAGTGATTTCAAACAGTAAGGTACAATAGTGTTGAATCTAATTGGAACACCTCCTTTTAAAATATACTGGGTGAATTCTTGATCCAGAAAACAAAATTTTGCATTTCTGTCCGGAAAGGTATTCATATTGCTAACAAACAAAATCAGTATGAGCTAATTAACATAGAAAAGGCTTGGCTAGAGAGAATTTTAATTACCCTGGAACAGATAAAGATTCTAAAACATAAAAACTTTGTAATGCTGATATTGAATACAGTACGTGTAACTTGTAATCTTGACAATTAAAACACAGATGTTATATAGTTACCAGTTCATGATTTTCAGAGTATGCTTTATTTTACTAACCAAGAATAGTTTCCAAATGTACAATCTGTAAAATCAACTTGGTCTCAAACTCATTTCCAACAAATTATGTAACTGACATTTAAATACTTTGGATTCTTTCCAATGACATGCTGCATTGAATATTATACTTAATGTACTTACTGCTTAATAAAATGTTTAGAGATCTTTTTTAAAAAACACCCAGAACTAGTTAGTAATGATGCATAAAGCCACAAGGGTCCTGAGCAATTCTGGGAGGCATTCAGTGAGGAATTGTTATTTTAACTCAGATCCTGGCAAACCATCAAAACTCAATGCAATTAATAAGCAAGGGGGAGAAACACAATTTATTTGACTCCTGTCCAGCTGCAGATCTGAGCTGGCTTAATTAGGACAAGTACTTCTGCACTTGAAGTGTTTCTTCCTTTTTTTGTGACTTGAAAAAGGATGACATTTACTTATGGAAATAGCACATCTTCATGAGTTAATACCTCTCAGCTCATGAAATACTGTTGCCTCTTTGCACAGTAGGCTGGAATTTCAAGAAACCAGCCCCTTTTGAGCCTGTCTTTGTCTCCCTCTCAGAAATACTGGCCCGCTATACTTCTGGAATTGTGTTGTGAAGACTGATGACCTGAAAAGGAGCAACACTATCAAGTGGAGGGATTGTCTTTAGTGAGATGCAGACAACTTAAAATTTGGGACTAGAACAACAGATGTTCGGCTATTTGACCTTCGTATCTCCTTAGCAATGTGTAGAATGGTAACAACAATGGGCATTTTTTTTCAGCCAGGAATCACACTTCATTGTTGTCAATATTTGGGTAGAAAGAGTGATAAGGAGATAATATCGCCAGAGTGACACTGGGTGTCTGAGATTTTCCCCATGCTTTTTGGTAAATTATTTTGCTGAATCATTAAACTATAGAAATTCTGCAATATGATTGAACAGGAAGGACAGCTCTAGGTTGCCTATACTGACATTTCTACCTAAAGGGAGGTGGGGGAGAGAGAAAATTATTTGATTTTATTTCAGCCTGGATTTTGAAATGGACACTAATCAGGAAGGCTTTGCAATGCTTTGAATTTCCAAAAAGGCCCTTTGAGGTATGAATATACACCTGTCTGTGACTCTTTAAAGTAGCTACATCTATTTCCCAGGATCATATAGTAACAACGCGATCTTGGGAGAGGATGCATCCATTTCGAAGAATTATAGAGAGATGCTAAGTTTCTGCTCTGAATTTTGGAACTGAATCTGAAGTTACATCACCAGCTGTACAGAATTACAGAAAGTGGTTGGGTTCTGCGAAAGTAGCTACTATTTAACCATTTTTGTCAATTTGTATATACAGCTGGCTAATTCATATTAGCTGTTCCTATTTTTAAAATATGTAGAGTTTACTTAAGCATCTGTATCAAGTATAATCATATTTTTTATATTTGTGTGGCAATGTCAGCCAATTTGTAATACCAAGAGTCAGCAAAATCCAAGCCTAGCCAAAAGTATTCTACTACCTGAAGTGATGCAAATGGGACTTCCAGTAAGAGGTGGCACAAATGTATATGCTATATTGATAGATCCACCCCAAAATTTTTAAGATCAAAGGCAGGACTAGAAAAATTATTTGGCATAAATGTCAGGCCCAGCCTAAGAACAATGATGAAACAGTCCAGTCCACTCCAGTTCCTTTATTTGCCTACACCTTATGGACAGAATCTTGCCAAACTAAATCCATACTACAGCAACTAGTGGATATACCCTGTGAGATTCTAGGGAATGGCTATCCTGAACCTCTTAGCCTTCCCACGCTCCCCCTGCGGACTATGCTGCCTCTTGCCTCCTCCCCCCTCCTGGAATGTACCCCCTCCTTCCTGATAGTCTTGATCTCCCACATCACTCTCCTCCTTATAGATACATTCCATCACAATAAGCCTTCAGCTAATGGAATTATGTGTGTTTTAATACATATTGCCTGCCTATACTAGTTGTAGTATAAGGCTATCCTACAGAAACCCTCTAAAAGTCTTTTACTTACCAGGTAAAACTATCTTGTCTTGGGGTGGGGGGTGGACAATAATTGATCCTACAGTTACCCAATTTTTTTTCCCCTTTACAGTTACTTATTTTTGCCCTGTAAGTACAGGTAGTCCTCGCTTAATGACTGTTCATTTAACGACAGTTTGAAGTTACAGTGGCCTCAAAAAAAGTGCTTTACGACCTGTACTTACACTTATGACCATCATAAATCATTGCACCACCCCCTGCAGTCACATGATCACCATTTGCAACCTTTTTTACAATGGTTGTTAAGTGAATCACTGCAATCGCTAAGCAAATCACGTGGTTGTTAAGTGAAACACATTGTTAAGCAAATTCTGGCAAAAACTATTGGGGAAGCTGGATTCACATGATGACATGATTCGCTTACCGACCATGTGATTTGCTTAATGGCCATGGTAATTCACTTAATAACTGTCATAAAAATGGTCATAAAATTGGGTCCGGTCATGTGGTGACCCACTTAACCACAACAGGAACCAGAAAATTGGTCATTAAGGGAGGACTACCTGTAAGGTTCTCGGCCTGCACTGATGTCATTGTAGGAAATGGAGTTTCGGGAATGTATGAGTATATTCACTCAGAGTAAGATTAATTTCCAGCAGTTTTGGAGTACACTTCTTGAAGAAAGGCAGTACCTCGTTTATAAGCTGTTCGTACTGTTTTCCCTAGGCAAAAAAGGATTGCACCAATTTAATTCCTTGCCAGATCTCATTTTCCACATTTTGTAAGATATATATGAAATCAGAATATTCCATAGCTATCATAAAAGATAATAGAAACACCAAGTCAGTTTTCAGAGTGCAGAGGGAAAGTTAAATATCCACCTGTTCCATGTGCAAGTGGTATTACAGGTAGTCCTCACTTAGTGATCGCAATTGGGACTGGCAACTCGATTGCTTAGCAATGCAGTCGTAAAGTGAAATGTCACTTACGAGTGCACCAGCTTACGATGTCAGTTCTGGCTGCGGTCATTAAGCAAATCGCCCATGGTCATTAAGTGCGATGTCACATGACCGCAACTTGCAACTTCCTGCCAGCTTCTCCACTGACTTTGCTTCCTGGAAGCTGGCTGTGAAGGTTGCTAATGGCAATCACATGACTGTGATAGCCTGTGGTTGTCGTAAATGTGTGCTGGTTGCCAAGTACCCTAGTCATGATCACGTGACTGCGGGGATGCTGCGACAGCTGCAACTTTGAGGATAGGTTGTAAATCTCCTTTTTCAGTGCCATCATAACTTGCTGAGCGATTGGTGAGGGCTACCTGTACTCTGCTTTAGCAGTAGGAACTCTGTCAAAAGCCTGCATTCTAGCATTGGGCTCATTTCCATATAGAAGCAGTTTTAAACCAAATGGGGAAAGAAGATACTGAAATTACATACTATGCATATGTAGCTCTTTTATGTTCCGTTTGCATTTTATACTTCAGTAAAGTTGATCAATTCTCATTTAAAAGGTTTCTGGATAGTACTGTCCTCTACCGCCCATTTGATGATTTTCCTCCATCTTAAAACATCTTAGGTCATACTGTACTCATTCTTGATATGTGTCCTATGATAAGAATAAACTCAATCAAATGGGATTACAAATCAAAATCATAGTGAGAGTTGGAAGCCACTTTAATTGACATTTGTCACATGATTTTGCATAAACAACTGAAAATTGAAGTTTTAAGGTAATATATTGTATGCACAAATCCCCAGTTACCCCTTAAGATCTGTTTTAGCACAATTCATATGCAGCAAATTAGATACTGTAAAATGAATCTTACTTTTCTTGATCCTTTAAAAACAATTTCCAAAAAAATTCAATTGTTAACTGTTAATTTTCATTGTCCCTGAACATTTTGCTTAAATATTCAAGTAATGCTGTAAGTTCAGGGTTCCCCCCAAGCAATTCAATTTGTTTATAAGCTTCAGACTCAAGTTCTTCTAATGTTTTCCGGGTATATTCAAAGGATCCCACATTCTCGAGGTAATGTACGCAGTATTTTTTTATATCCACATTTTCAGTTCTCTGTCGCAGAATATTCTGAACCTGTGTGCTGTCTGGCCTGGACCATATTGCATGAATAGTTGGGAATGAGAACTTCCCTTCAGTTAAGTCTTCACAAAAGCTTTTGTTTTCACTATATTCTTTCGAGTGTAAATTTGCATAGTCATCTCTGATTTGAAAGAAGAGCCCGAGAGTGTTAAGGAGTGGTTTCAAATCATTTTTATAACTGGAAAACAATTGCATAAGGCCCACGGCTAGTCCAAAAAGGCCACCTGTCTTTTGCAGAACCATGGCTTTATATTCTCCTTCTGTAGGACAGGTATAAGTATCTCTCCAGTAAATATCCAAGCCTTGGCCCTTATGGAGTTCAAGCAGTTGACGGGTAAATACTTTTACAGCATCTGGATGATCAAGTGTTAAAACCTTTTGTAAACCAAGGAAATATACAAAGTTTGCACAGTTTATCACAGATGGTATTCCATAAATGCTGTGGGCCACTGGAAAACCACGTCGTAGCTTTGAATTGTCTTCTATGTCATCTATAAGCAAACTTGCATTGTGCAACATTTCTGTCACTTCAATTATAACCTAATAAAAAAGACAATCAAATCCTGTTTTATACTGCTATTATTCTTCTATATCTATATTTAGATTCCCCCATATTTCTACTTTCATTTCTTCTTGCAATATGCCAATTCTCTGTGCTAATTAGGCTTTTAATTCCATCCTACTGACTGCAAAGTGCCATTCCCATTGGGATTATGCACCCTATTATCTGTGTTTCTATATATTTCTTCGTGTAGAGGCTTTTTAGTATGAACTTACACAATATAAGTGATGATGGCTAACATCTACAATCACAATAACTCACAAATGGAAACAGGCATGTATATACATACAGAAATCAAATGTAATATACCTGACTACAAAATTAATACTTGCCATATTACAACACACATGTAGTGTTTAGTCTTGTGATTAAAGTATTTAAAATGTTTGAAAACAGTAATCAGGAAATGAATGTTATGGCTTGGCATGCTAACCAGGTTATTTGTGCTCTTCATCAATCCTCTTTCATCATATTGCTTACAGAAGAGGCAGAAATATATTTGATGTGATGCAAATAAGCAGTTTTCCTCATGCCTGTATCCCAGGAGACTTGAGGGAAAGTAGGTTCATATCTCATCCTTGCTGATATTTTGAAAGCCCTCTGTCATAAATGTATAGTGATGGTGCGGTATGGGAGAGAGTTGCCTTCCTCAGTGCGGAGCAAAAATTAGAGTGCAAAGTAGGGGATGTGTTTCAAGAGGTATTTGTCCTCAATGAACAGATACCCAACATTTATCAAGGTAAGCACCAGTCATGTAGGTATTAGATTAAGAGCACAAAATAAAAATGTTTAGAAAGCCCAAACTGCTCTTTTCCTTGCCACCAACGTTCTCTGGCAGTGTATTACAATCTGAGGCACCTGCACAGACCACAATATCTTGCTTTTGGCCACCACAGAAGTTTACATGCTATACTACTGCAATACATTTATTTTAGTTAAAATATTTAGATATAAGCAGAGTAAGAAAAAAGTAGTTATTTTTTATCCACCAGGTTTATATGCATTATTTTAAAATTATCTTAAAACTGTATTAACTGATAAATCAATTTAACTTATACAGTACAGCTCACCTGAAGTTTATCTTCAGGAACGTTCAACCAGTGATTAAAGGCTTGGGAAAGTTTGGTTCTGACCTGTTTACCTATGTAAAAAGTAGAGAAAAAATACTACACATTTTGAGTCCACATCACTTATTTATAATAAGCCCTAGGAAATGTATTAAACAAATAGGGAGGAGTAGTTCCTATCAAACTGCCTTGAGCACAGAACTTGAGTATTTTGGAAATACTTCACATTTGAAACAATGTTATCATATTTTATAATTTATCCTATTTTGTAGTATAATCTGCAAAAATTGTCACAGCTAATCCTAATACCATTTTAGACAATTAGGACTGATTATACCATACAGAATGACATTGACATTTTCAGAATAAAGGCTTAGGCAGATGAATTAACAGGTTATTTACAAACCACACCTTATTATATTGTGAAATCACCACTGGGCCTTTGTTCACTGAGCAGAACTTTACACAAGGCAGCTGCAATTCTTAATACTAGCCAAAGAATTGTAATTAGCCTATTTCATCATCATAATATTGGTACAATATTTTCCATTATTATATTAACTCCAAGGCACTGCCAATAGAGGTGATAGCTTCATAGAGCACTGTGTAAATAGTCTACTGAGATGCAAGATAATCTGGAAACATAATCCAAATATTACTGTCTACTACACTGTAGTTTAGCAATTGGTAGAAAAGAAAAAAAAATCTTGTGATGGACACAAAGATACTAACTGAAGGCTGAAATTGTATCCCATGTGGGCTTATCTGAAAAACTTACGAACACTTTTTTTCCCCTATGCTAGGTTTAACTCCAAAATTCATAAAGAGTAATTTTTTTAGGATGACTCAAAAGTCACAAAAAACATAAGCTTTCAAGAATTCTAAAGCTCTTTAGGATGCTACAAAAAGCAGATAGAAGAGAGAAAAATCTGACTTCATACAGAAATCTGTAATACTAGAATTAAAGTAGAAGACAACAGATTTTAGACACTTAAATATTCTTCTTGTAATATCTTGCTGAATAAAGAGATTAAGATCTTAAAAGCACACTGGTTAACATTTCAGTTAAAACTTGCTCTAATTTTTTTTTCTTTTTACATCCTTACATCCTTGGGGCTTGCCCTGATAAAAAAGAGCAAGCACCAAAGGAGCAGTTTCAATTCCTGACTGCTCTCTTCATCCATTTCTGTTGCTTGGTAGATGACAAAAAATAAACAGTTAAAATCTATATTCACATTTAATGATAAATGCATCTATATTATGGCTTTGCATGATGATGTGTGTACAAAGCTATCAGCAAACAACCATATTCATGCTTAAAATTATGTTCACATGACATCAGCTCTGCCCTAACTGAAATGTTCTCCATTTTGCTACTTAATAGATAAAATGGTAAATTAAAAGTTAACATTCCAGTCTTAAAACCGCTTAAATAACTTCTTGAAATAATTACTCAAAATATATTTAAACTATAATATCACTGATTTTAAGTCACAGAAATTAGCATGCATCCCATAATGTCATTTTAAGTAAGTGAGATTAGGCTCATGCAAAACACAAGGGTGGATTCACATGTTCCACTAAGCTATACTTTATTAACAAAATACAACTTGCTTTGTTTATATAACATCCTAAGTCAAAAGTGAAGAATTCATATTAGGCTGGGTTCACACATTGCACAAAGCCATAATGCAGTTTATTTTTTGCTTGGCGTATGTAAGTGATCTGCAAAAAGAAACTGGTTTTTTTAAAGAAACCACTATTTGATCCCATGTTCGTTGCTATTTCTGAACCCAGAATCCTTCTTTGTTTTTGGCTTCTGTGTTCTGCTCAGATTTTGGATTTTGGCAGAACAAATGAAAAAAAAACCAAATTGGTTGAATCATAATCAATTTGCTCATCTGCAAGACAGACTATTTGTTCAAATCGTTGTTAAAATAAATCCTGGTTTATATGTTAATAGGCATATCAATGAAGAACAAGGCTAAGTAAATTGAAAACAGAAGGGTACAACATGATGATCAGGTACTAATGGGAACAAAGTGAAGGCTGATTTGGGGAATAAATGAAAAATGTGTAGCTCACAGACCAAAGAGTTTGCTATGGCTATCCCAATGTATATAATACTTTCATATATCATATAACATATAAGATGTTACCAGGGAGTTGAAGCAGGTAGTTGTATGGCTCTAAAAGAATCCTCTTGGATGAATCTTCTAGTTGCTCCATGTTAAAAAAATGATTCCAAAGCAGTGCCTCAGTCTGTTTAACAACAACAACAAAAAAGAATTGTTATAGATTGTTAAAATATATTTGGCTGTAGTAATAAAATATGATGCAGGCAGGAAAGGTCACAAAGCACTGACTATGTGCCAATATAGAAATGACAGCTACTACCTCTTTAAAGTATGTTATTTCAAGTAACCATTTAATACACTATCCAAGATCAACCAATCACCATATTATTCAGAAGATACTGTGAAAATTTTCTGAACATGTACCTATTTATATACTAATATGTCTAATATGTAATAATATCATTTCATAATCCAAAGCCTCATCCTTCAAACTGACAGTATTGCATATAGGACACTTAACATTCTCAGTTATTTAATCCAGTTCTTCATCTCTTTTTTTCCTCTTCTCTCTAAATGTTTCTTACTGCACTGCAGCTGTTGTAGACTAAAACAATTTGTCTCATGCAATTTGAATACAGAACCTGCAGTCATAATATGGTCCCGTGCCAATCTGACAATCACACTGTTGACTGGCGTTAACAAGTTGTTTCCTAGCATATAATTTCTAACTATTTCCTAATAGTTTTGTTTTATATAAAGAGAATAGTGCAACATTTTAACTGTAGTAAAATGACTAATACTATTTAATACTAACAAACCACAAAGCACTTTTAATCCACAAAGCACTGAATGAAAATGAAATGGAATATCCTGAAATGAAAACCTGAACTGATAAAGCCTCAGTCATATCAATGCAGTATAAACTGAGCAAGTGCCTAATACAGGTAGTCCCCAGTTTGAGAATGAGTTCTGTTCCCAAGGTCTGTCCTTGAGTCGAATTTGTATGTAAGCTGGAACAGTATTATTGTGTAATACTGCATTATTGCATTGTATAATGCTGTATTAGTAGTATTGTGTAATTAACTCAAACCATTATATATTAAACTCGAACCATGTATTCACAAAAATCTTGTAAGCCAAAATTAAGTGAACCAGAATTTAATACATGAAGATCCCAACACAAGGGTGGGGCTGCACACTTGCCAGATGTTCTTTTTACATAATAACTGCATTTTTGTTCAGTCTAAATTTCCCCAAACTTTCCTGTGTGATGAGAAATTTCAGCAGGATTGGAACTGTTAGTTCTTCATGGATGACTGCTGGAAAATACAGTAGCAGGATGGTAAACTTGATTGAGAAATTTAGAAAAAAAAACACCATCCAGAAAAAGGCAGTGGTACACTTCTATGCTGTACTGTTCCCTGTAGTCACTGGGAGTCATTTGGAGGCTATAGTACTGTATTTTCAAAGCTTCCACGGTTTGTGAACATTCTTTTAAAACTTGTACCATAAACTCTATTTTGTCATTTGTAATGAAATAATGTCAGTTTAATTTATTAAACTACTTAAGTCTTAAATCAACTTGAAATTCAGTGCTGAAATAAAATTTCAAACTTCCTTAAGAATTTGACAGTAAATGGTTAATTAGACGACCAGTTAAAGCCTGAAGTACTTAACCCTAGTTTTTGTTCCTATCTACTAGTTTTGATTATATTACAAAAAACTTGGACAAGACACATCTTATTTTCCTTACACAATGAATTCTGAACTTATTTTCTTAGGTACCTTTAAGTTACAATTTAAAAAATGTGAAGTAGTCCACCAAGACACAATCCAATACTGTATGTAGTTAACTAAGAAAATTTCAGTACTGTACTCAATCCGCTTTAGAAACTTAATGAAAACGCACCAAATGACATCAACATTTTAACAGGACCTAGAGCTGATCTTGACCTGTTCTGCCAGAAATTGGCAGTAACTAACGAACCTTTGTATTTAAAAAGAAATCCACAAAACAGATCCTATAGTTTTTTCTACACACTTCATCAATAATCCAAACTGAACAATAAAGTATTTACCTCCCCCAAACAACCATTAAAAAATCAAATTGGCAAAAGAATAGGCCAAATATTTACATTAGAGTTCAAAACCTAGAGAGAACAGCCTCTCGTAAACATCGACCGAGCCCGGCAAGCCAGCAGTCACATTTCCACGCAAGAGCCGCCCCCTTTTCCTGCCAGCTCAAGCGAGAACATCGAAAGAGGAAGGAGAGGCAAGCAAGCGCGCCAACACCTTCCCCGTCTGTTTACCAAAGGGCGACTTTTCCCTCGCAAAGGAGCATCGGCCTTTTCTACGGCAGCGACCGAGACCTGGCAGCAAATAGAGGGGAGGCACGGAAGGGACCCGCCACTGCTCCCGCCGCTCGAATGTAACAGGCTCCCGAGGCGAAGAGAGAAGGCAAGCGGACCGAGAGTCAGCGACGCGGCGGCTTCAACCTACCGCGGCCTCCTCG